GAAAAGCAAACACCTCAGTGTCTCAGTGTGGGCCCCGCTGGCCTGCTGGGGGAAGGAGGGAGGGCCAGGAGCCTAGGCTCCTCTCAGCCGCCCCATACACCCACTCCCCACTCCTGAGGGTCCCTGGCTTCCTGCACCCTTGGCCTACAGTGTCTAGAAGGAGAGTGGGGCTAGGGTTTGGGGACAAGCCCTATGGGAAACACCTTTGCTCAAATCTTTCCCTGCCCTTCCTCCCTGCCCCCAGCCAGTGCCCTTCCTGCCCAGCACATGCCAGGAAAATCTGGGCCTGGGAAGGGCGGTGTGGCACCTGAGAGCCTGCCTGACCAGCCCTTTCAGCAGCAGAAGCTGGGTGGGGAGTCACTTTGCCAGAGATGCCCCAGCAGTGCCATCCACCTCCTGGGCTGAGGGGACCCCAAGAGGCTCTACCCGGGTGAGTGCTCCTCTGGCCCATAGCCAGGCAGCAAGGGAGGGAGAGGCTGTCCTTACTGGGCCTCCCGAGACCCCCACAAGCTCCATGAGTCCCCAAGATTCTGTGGCTTTTCTGCTTGGACTGTCTTGAGCTCTGTCGAGGGTCCTGTGTGTCACTGGTGGCTTGGAGAAGGCAGCTGAAGGGATGGTTGGAGAGGCTGGAGGTGAAGTCTGGGAATGAGGGAGGCAGGAGGAGCTGGGGTCTGGGGTGGAGGACTCCTGCATCCCCAGCTGACTTTTGGATTAGACTTGTGGAATCACAGAGGCTCTTGTGATAGTTTCCTTTTAACATTTTGGATTCTAAAAGACTTTTGGAATGAGCTCAGAGAGGGATAGCAACTCATCCTGGGTGACGCAGCAAATTGCTAGAGCTGATACTCAACCTACCGGGTACCCCCTTATACTACGGCGGGCAGGACTTTCTGTGTTACCGACACCACCCTTGGCCACACCTCTCTCTCTCCATCTGTATGGTTTGGTCCCTCTGGGTTTAAGAGGCCGGGGAGTGGAGGGAGGAGACTGCACAGCACCTCCAGGCCTTCTTCCTGTCCTGTCCTTTCTCTGTGCTCCATGCTTCATGCCCAGCACTCGGCCAGGCAGTAGGAGCAACCTCTGCCTGGGCCTCAGAGAAGCCACAGTCTCCTCTGATTATCCCTAGGAAGCCGTGGTTGGCTTTTGTCTTACAGATCCCAGAGAAAAGGGACCCCTTTGGTTTGGTGTCTAACCGTAGTCCCTCATGCTGTAATCAAAGTCCAACTACTCCCTGGAAAGCAAGGTCAACAGCTGACTGCAGGCTACAACACCCAGAGGTGCCTACTTTGAGGTGTCCTGGCCCATGAGACTTGGCTTGGGAAGACCTTGCCCAGTAGAAACAGACAGCCCTGGCTGAGTCAGGCTCTGTGGTAGGGCCTTACACACACCTCACTGAATGGTCACCACACTCCTGCAATGTGGTTCCATTTTATAGATTGGAAAACTGAGGCACAGAGGGCTGAAATAACTTACCCATGAACACACTGCCCAAAAAAGAGCTGGGATTCAAACCCATGGCTTGGCTCCAGAGCCCAAGCCCTTAGATGTTCTTCTATACTGCCTCTAGTCCCTAGGAGGCCTCCACTGGAGGCCATCGCATCCAATGCCCTGCATCTGGGTGTCCGCCCAGGCCCACCTCTGCTCATACATAAAAATCAATCTGGTTTGTAAAGGCACCTGCTCCAGGGGTGGAATTCCCCATGGAGGTCATCACACAGTTCTGTATTGATGAACTTCTGGCTGGGGGGACGCCCTCCCACCCAGAACTCACCAGCGTCCAGCTGCCTGGATGCTGCTTCCTCCCCCCACTGGAGCATAATCAGGAGACAGGCAGCCTCACCTCAAGACCTGGCTCCAGGCGGGGGGCACAGTCGCTCACGCCTGTAATCCTAGCACTCTGGGACTCTGAGGTGGGCAGATCACTCAAGGTCAGGAGTTTGAAACCAGCCTGAGCAAGAGCAAGACCCTGTCTCTACTAAACATAGAAAGAAATTAGTTAACCAACTAAAAATATATATACAAAAAATTAGCCGGGCATGGTGGTGCATGCCTATAGTCCTAGCTACTCAGGAGGCTGAGGTAGGAGGATCACTTGAGCCCAGGAGTTTGAGGTTGCTGTGAGCTAGGCTGACGCCACGGCACTCACTCTAGCCTGGGCAACAAAGTGAGACTCTGTCTCAAAAAAAAAAAAAAAAAAGACCTGGCTCTATAACCTCCAAGCTGTGTGGCACTGGACAAGTGACTCAACTTCTCTGCACCTCAGTTTATCAACTGTAAAGTGGGGCTAATTATACACCTGCTTTGTGAGGTTGATGAGGTTTAAATGAGAAAAGGGGATGAAAGCCAGAAAGAGCTCAGTAAGCACAGGGCCTGGCACCTACGAAGTGCCCAGGACCAAGTGGTAAGTACTTCACACCATCATCATCACCATCATCATCATTAATGAAACCCTTCTGACTGCAAGATCACAGCTTCCTGCTTTTGGCCTTGCAGTTTAGCTTCCTTATTACAAATAGGGAAACTGAGGCCCAGAGTGGAGAAGGACTTGCTCGGGGACACATAGCAAATTGGTGGTGGAGCAGGAAGCAGCTCTCAGGCCTCCTGATTCCCAGTTGGATCCCCCTGTCTCTTCTTGACCCCTGCCCACCTCAAGTCCTCCCCTGGTGTGCCCAGGGTGCAGGGGACCTGACACTCAGTCCTGCCTGGCAGAGCCCAGAGAGAAGTGAGCAATGGTTGGTGGAGTAGTCGCAGCCTGGTGCGTTCTCAGCCCCAGCTCTTTGTCTGCCGCTTTGTGATGGTAAGTGCTGCTCCTAAATCAGTTCTGTGACACTGTTATTGTTGCCCAGGGTCCAAAGAGTCTAAACTTTTCCCCTGAGGTCAAGAATGTGGCTGGTCCCCAAGCCGCCTGGAGCAGGGGCCTGGGTGGCTGGGGGTGGGGCTGGGGCCTCACCCCGAGCTGGGGCGAGATGTAGGGGGGAGGGGGTCAGCGGGAACAAAACGCTTTGAAATGCCTCCTCTCCATCACTGCCAACATTGTCCGCTGCCCGTGGGGGGCCTGGCACCGCCTCGCAGGGGCTCCGGCCCCCAGCCCTGGCCAGGCCCGGCCCGACATCTGAAAATGGACAGAAGGTTATTGTCCCTTCCCGCAGCCCTTTGTCTGCCCCAGTTCCAGATGTCTAGGCTGGGACCAGGGAACTGACCCATGGTGGGCAGGGAGGAGGGGACAAAGGGGGACAGCACGGGTCACTGCATCCTGAGGGGTCGTTCCCAGACCCTGAGATCTCACCCAGCCATAGCCAAGTCACCTTCTGGGCCGTCTTAGCTCTGGATTGTCCCTGTTCCCTTTCCCCTCCCCAGTCCAGGTTCTGGCCTCAAGAGAGAAGGCTGAAGGGATGCAGGAGTGAGAGCAGGGTCTTGGCAGGCCCCAGGATGGGCCAAATCCCAGCTTTGCCCTGTAACTGTGCGATCTTGGGCACTGTGGGGCCCTCTCCTTGCCTGCTTTCCTTACATGGGGATGCCTGGAGCAGGGTTCATTCATTCACAGCAAATGACAGAACCCTCCCATGTACCAGCTCTGAGCTGAGCATGGGACACACTGTGCTGGATGGGCCACTAGGATCCTTCCAGATTGTGGTTAATAGTCATAATAGTAAGAGATGGCATTTCCCACCCACTTCTTCCATGTTGGGTCCTGGGCTAACCACTTTACCTGCTTTATCTCATCCTTTCCACAACAAAATCAAGGATGCAGAAGCCATTACTCTCATCTTGATTTTTCAGCTTTGGAGACTGATACTTTGAGAGGTAAAATCACTTGCCCAAAGCCAGGCAGCCAGGAGCAGCAAAGCTGGGATTCCAGCCCAGGCAGACCGCAGCCACCAGGAGGAGTAATCCGCTAATAAATACTTGGACGCTATTGAGCGCAGAGCCTGGTGCGGCTCCAGACTAGGCATCTGGGAGCTGGTGTTGTTAACTCCTTCCATCAGCTTCCCCGTTTCACAGATGGGGAGACTGAGGCCCAGAGTGGGGAAAGGAAGCCTGAGGCAAAAAAGCTTAGGGAAACTTTTTTTGTTTCTTTGTTTTTGTTTTGTTTTGAGACAAAATGTTGCTTTGTTGCCCAGGCTACAGTGAGTGCCATTGCATCAGCCTAGCTCACAGCAACCTCAAACTCCTGGGCTCAAGCAATCCTCCTGCCTAAGCCTCCCGAGTAGCTGGGACTACAGGCATGTGCCACCATGCCCAGCTAATTTTTTCTATATATATTAGTTGGCCAATTAATTTCTTTCTATTTATAGTTAGAGACGGGGTCTCGCTCTTGCTCAGGCTGGTTTTGAACTCCTGACCTAGAGCAATCCGCCTGCCTAGGCCTCCCAGAGTGCTAGGATTGTAGGCGTGAGCCATGGCGCCCCGCCATTTGGGGAAACTTTAATAGCAACACCAACAGCAATCCCAGAGCCACCAGGGCTGGCCGTCGGGATATGGGCAGACCTAGTTTCGAACCCCAAGTCTTTGTGAGTTCAGGCAAATGATTTAGACTCTCCACACCTCAGTTTTCTTGTTGCCTTTTCTTTTCTTTTTTTGAGACAGAGTCTCACTTTGTTGTCCAGGCTAGAGTGAGTGCCATGGCGTCAGCCTAGCTCACAGCAACCTCAAACTCCTGGGCTCAAGCGATCCTTCTGCCTCAACCTCCCGAGTAGCTGGGACTACAGGCATGTGCCACCATGCCTGGCTGCCTTTTCTGTAAAATAAAAATATTCCCTACTTTGTAGGGTTGTGAAAATTAAGTTAGGTAATACATTTAAAGCACTTACCAGATGCCTGGCACACAGCCAACAGTTAATGATAGCTATTATTATTATTCTGAATAGGGCTGACATTTATCGTTTTGAGTCTGTGGGCTCACCTGGGTTCACCTGAGGACAAGGGGACAGGTTAACAGTCTTGAGGCTAGGGATAGGGATAATAATACTTGGTCTTCTTGGGGGTCCTGCAAGGCTACTGCCGCAGCTCAGGGGGAAGCAGAAGGCATCCCAGCTGGGAGGGGGACGGGGCTGCCTGGGCCCAGAGGAGTTAACAGCTCCCAGGCCTTGGCCCAGCAGGGCTGCCACGCTGCAGGCTGCAGCAGTAGGAACAATTTTAGCAGAGGAGCCAGAGCTGCTTCCTGATGGGCAAAACAGCTGGCTGCCCGGAGAAAACAGCTGGCCTGTTCCCAGCCTCCTGAGAAGAGAGGCAGAGCCTCAGAGGAGGACAGCTGCACATCTGGGATCCTAGGAGAGGAGGGCATGGCCAAGAAGGGGAGAGAGGGTGGTTCTTCGGAGTGTGTGTGGGTGTTGGGGGGACCCTTGGGGATGGGGGGCGTGGGCAGATTCCTAGAGCAGAGGCCAGGTTATGCTAAATCTAAGCAGAATGGGCAGGGGTGCCTCCAGCTGGGTGGCAGGGGGTCTCAGTCTTCCACTGAACAGGAAAGATGAAGGAAGGGGAGCATAGGAGGACGACCCCCTGTTCAGCTCTGGGTCCTCTTGGAATCAGGCTTGGAGGTGGGTAGGTGGGGAGGGCGCCCAGGCTGGCCTCCTGGGCTCCCATTGCCGAGCTGCACCCAGAACCAGGACCCGAGCGCGGGCCCATCCTGTGCCAGGATCCTGGGCTCTTTTGGCCACAAAGCAGGACAGGGGCCCAGAGAGCCCCCAACTCAGGAGACGTGAAGCTGGCAGCTGGTAAGAGCTCCATTCAAGCATCCTCCCTGCTTTGGGTCCCTATTCCCAGCTTGTTTGGCTGCCAGGCCATGAGGACCTCCAACCTGGGGGGCCCTGTTTGGGAGCTGGGGCAGCTCTAAGCTGCCCTTACCCATTGGCAGGGAAGCAGCACCTGGGACCTCAAATGAGTTTGGGCAGGGTCAGCAGAGGGTTAATGGGGTGTGGCCAGAGTCCACTGGACCAGAGAGGCCTACCTGGGTTACTGACCCCCAAGTCTCAGAGGCCTGACACCGCTAATTTCTCTTTGATTCAAAGGGGCTACTCTAGCCCCTCTCCCTAATCCCCAGGAGTAGGGACTTGGCCCCCAATTTGGGTGTGCCAGCCTCAACGTCCCTCTCCCCAATGAAGGCCATGCCACAAAGCCTTTGCCAGGGTGTAGGCCTTGGAACTGGAGCTCCTAGCGGGAAGAAGCCACTGGGAAGGGGGACAGGTCTTGCAGGGTCTCTACTTTAGGAAGCCAGAGTGAAGCCTGGGGTGCTGGCGCCACCACTTGGCCTTGGCCAGAATTACAATGGCTGTGGGCAATGAGGAAGGTGCCAGGGAGAAACCCTGAGCGGGAAGCAGGTGTTGGTCCATCTGGTCTGGTTGCTACTCAGCCACATAGGCCCAAACGGTCATTTTTTTTCCCAGACGTGTACCCTACATGACCTGGTTACTGAGGCCTTAGGCCCCATAGAACAGCAGTTTCAGAGTTTAGCCTGCAGCAAAATTACCTGGAAGGCTTGTTAATACCCTGAGTTTTTGATTCAGTGGTGGGGGAGGGCCTAAAAGTTTGCATTTCTAAACTGTTAGAAAGGCCTCCAGGTGAGGCTGATGCTGCTGGTCCAGGGACCACACTTTGAGTACCACAGCTTTAGAATTTCTGTGAATTTGCCCAGCATTACCTTAGCAGCGTATATCTTATATTTGGGGGCAAAAAATCAGTGTAAGTGGAGTACAAGTGCAGGACCAGCCCACCTCAGCCAGTGACCCCATCCTATTTCTATTGGGAGCCCCCCCCCAATGCCTGCGAGCCCTGCTCTAGGACTGGGGGCAGGATGGTGAATGCAGAGGACAGGTCCCTGCCTCAGAACTCAGAGCCAGCCAGGTTTCCCATGGGATCTCTCGCCTGGAGGTCTAAAAGACAGCTCAGAATGAGATCCAAAACTGCAGCTCTCCAGCCCTCCCATTCAGTGACCAGCCCACCAACCACCTGCTAATGTCATCCTGATTCCACCTTCTGTCTCACACATCTACTCCCACAAGGCCTGTGGGCTCTGCCTGCATCATACCTCTCACCTCTGTCTTCCAGAATCATCTCTCTCTGTAGCAGGGTCTCCCGGTTGCCATCTTTGTCCCCGTGTCGGCCTTCTAAGCCACAGCCCGAGCAATTTCTTTCAGACAGATCACATTACTCCTCTGCTTACTCAATGTCTTTCTATCTATTGCACTTTTTTAAAAAGTCCAAAATCCTACCATGGCTTCAAGGCTCTGGGTGACTCAGGTGTGCCCGCCTATCCTATCCCACCCCTTAGCACACCTGTTGCTCGCCTTGCTCCAAGCTCCTTGTTCCATCCCAGGGCCTGTGCCCTACTTATTCCCTCTACCTGGAACCCTTTTCCCCCAGATCATCCCTTGGTTGGCTTTTCCTTTTGCACTAAAATGTCTTGTCTGACCCCTCTATCTGAATGTTGCCCCACTCCCAGCTACTCTTGGTTCTTGATCACTTGTTTTAGTTTGTTCATAGCATTTACCATTCCTTGAAATTATGTATTCATTTATGGGTTTACTTGTTTCCTTTCTGTGTCTGCTCAGCAGAACATAAGCACCCTAGGAGCAGAGACTGGGTCTCATGCACCTCTGTGTCTCCAGTACTTAGAGTTCTGCCAGCACATGTGCTTAATACGTATTTACTGAATGAATGGGATCATGTAGAATGCCATGTAGGGGTATGTCCCCCAGACATGACATCAGAGAAGGCTTCGCAGAGGAAGGAAGACTGCAGGGCCGAGACTGCAGGGCCTATAGTATAGGAGTTGTCCAGGAAGTGAAAGACCAGTCCAGACAGAGGGACCAAAGGAAAAAAAAATCCAAAAGCATGGAGTGTTTTGGAAACTGTAAATCATGCAATTTAGCTGAAGCAGAAGGTGGAAGGGTGTAGAAATCAGAGGAGCTGGAAAAGCTGCAGGCAGGGCCATGCAGGGCCTTGCTGCCCCCTCAGGGTTTTGAGCTCTATGCCAAGGGCAATGGGCAACCCGTGAAGGTCGAGAGGCATTTTAGAAATGGCTGCTGAGTGCAGAATGGTTTCTAGGGAGAAAGCCTGGTGGTGTGTGTGGGTAACAGGGGCTGGCAGGTGCAGCAGCACAGGTGACTGATGCTGACGCCCTGAGCCAGGCAAATGGCAGAGCACAAGGAAAGAGGTGGCTGTGTGCAGGAGATATTGTGGAGGTGGCCTGGCCAGGCGAGAGGACGGAGTTGGTGATGAAGACAGAGGGACTTGTCATCAGTGACACCTAGGTCTCCAGCCTGAGGGACAGGGTGGGCCGAGGTGCCAGTCCCTAGTGTCAGGGGAGAACTGGAGGGACAGCCGGTTTGGGGAAAAGATTGGGGTTCTGTTTGGGTGAGGTGGAGTTTTCATCCAGGTGGACAGTTGAGATGTCAGGTTTCCAGAAAGAGGGAGTGGTCCATGCAGTCAACTGCTGAAGGGGGGCTGAGCCCTCTTGGATGAGGGATGAGGAGGAAATGTCCACCCAGGGGAGTGGTCAGATGACTCTGGTCTCAGCAGGAGCAGCTTGGCTGCAGCAGACTTGATGTGTGTCAAGCAGGAACAGAAGGAAGCGAGGAAGGGAGCAGATTCTCCACCAAGAGGTTTGGAGGGAGAGAGTGAGTTAGAGCCACAGCTGGAGGCTGTGCAGGTGCCTTGGCTGGTGTTTTCTATTTTAAGTTGGGGGAGATTCAGGTCCTTTGGCACGTGGAAGAAAGAACCAAAAGAGAGGGAGCTTGGGGATACAGGAAGGGCAAGGGGGCAGCATGGGGGCCAGGGGTGGTTCTGTAGTGAGGACTGGGCACCTCTTCCACTGTGACAGGAGTGAAAAGCAAGAGGCTGGCTTGAGGGCAAGGGGTAGGAAGGTTTGGGGGCTGGAAATGAGAGTTCCCAGATGATAGCTTCTGTTTTCTCTGAAAAGTAGCAGGGAGATCCTTGCTGGGGGAGGGGGGCATGGAATGGGGGCTGGAGAATACTAGGTGCATTTGAAATGCCACTAAGGAGAGGGGGCAGGGAGCATAGGGAAACAGGACTGTGGGGCTGGGCGAGAGCCCAGCTGGGGGTGGTGCTCATGAATCTGCAGTAGCCCTAACCTGTCCCAAAGCAAGATGGCTACAGGATTCTTCTAGGCAGGGGTGATGGGCAACCCCTGGGGCACAGGAGTTAGTGACAGGCTAGACCACTGGGTAGACTAGGCAGGGATGGAGTGGAAATGAGAGGACTGGGAGGGGGAGGACTTAAGCCCAGGGAAGAATCTGGAAGCCCCCTCTCTCTTGGTCCCTTCGGACTGCTATACAAAATACCTTAGACCAAGTAACTTATAAACAACAGAAATTTATTACTCAAACAGTTCTGGAGGTTGAGAAGGCCAAGATCAAGGCACTAGCAGATTGGGTATCTGGTGAGGACTCCTTCCTTACAGATAGGGTCTTCTAGCTATGTCCTCTTGTGGCAGAAAGGTCACACAATCTCCCTCAGGCCTCTTTTCTAAAGGCGCTAATCCCATTCATAAGGGTGGAGCCCTCATGACCTAACCACCTCCCAAAGCTCCCACCTACCAGGACATTGGTGATTAGGTTTCAACATATGAATCTTGAGGGTCTCAAATATCCAGCCCATGGCCTCCTCATGACCAATAGGCCAGGCACAGGCTCTTGGATGGGTGAGTTAGGGGACACTGTTTCACTTTAGAAGGGAATCTCCATTCTGCACCTGGGGGTGGCTTCCTGCCAGAGGCTACCATGCAAAGGAGGGGTCTCTTGTGTCTCCCCAAGATGCTGCCATTGGACCTTGGGGCCTTCTCACTGCAAGACCACTGGCCTAGAAATGGCCCTGCTGGAAGCTGTATCTGGCCTCTGGTGGAGGCTTTGGAGCCAGGCTGGAGACAGGACTCCAGGTGCAGTGCCCCTATATGCTGTCCCATCACTAGGTGAGTCCCTTCCTTGCTGGACCCTCATCTTCCCCTTCCACCCTTCTCTGACTCTGAGAAGGGGCTGAAGACGACCCAAAGGTGCCCATAGGAAATTAGACCTTCCAGGTGGTGGGGGGAGGATGAAGGGGAAACTCTTTCCTCCTTCCAACCCTCTGAGCGGGCCCTTCCTGTGTGTAAACCTCCATGCAAAGCTTTCTAATGCACTTAAGAAAGCGTAAGTGCATTCATTGTCTGAAGGAATCTTTGCAAACCCTCCCAGACAGGTGGTGTTACCAGCCTAGGAAAAGTGACCTGAGGTCGGTGGCAGGTGCCCAGCTAAAACCCATTTCTGCTGCCTCCAGGCCCCTCCCCTTTTCTGTTCCTCTCCCAAGAGAGTGTGGAGACTCCTTGCCATCCCAGCAGGCTCCTAAGGACCCCAGCTGGGCCCCAGGGGAGGCTGCATCCTCTGTTTTGGAGGGGGGCTGGGGCTGCGAAGGGTTCTGTGGCGCCCACAGTTCTGCACTCAGACTAACAGTGGGCTTTTCTCTCTGAAAGGGCCGGAGCAATGCTGGTGCTGGCGACCGAGGCGAGGATGGTGACGCACGGGGGTGGCCAGACGCGGACCGCCGCGGGACTGAGAGCACAGGTCAGGGGGACCCGGTCCCCGCCCCCTAAACTGGGCCTTCCTCTCCCGCCCACGCGTCGCCCGACTGGCCTGCGCAGTTCCTGTCTGGGCCCGCCAGAGGGCGCCCGGGGCGGCGGGGGCGGGGCGCGCCGGGGAAGCCCCGGAAGGCCGCGGGGTCTGCGGCTAAGGTCAGAAGTTGGATGGATGGACCCGGGAATCCGGATTCCGGGGGCTGAACGCCTAGGGCTTCGAGGCGTCGAGGGTTACCAGACGCCCGTCCGGCTCCGATGCCGACACCCAAGACTCGCCCCCCATCCCCCTTCACCCCTCCTGGGTCCGGCCGGGCGGGGCTGTTCCTAGGTGGCGTCGGGGACGGGTGTCCGGCCCCGGCTCCCGCGCTCCGGGCCGAGGAGAGGAAACTGGAGAATGCACGCACTGCGGTGGAGAGTGGAGCTCTCTTTTGTGGGGTATGCTCCCCATCCCCGCTCCAGGTCCGCCTCGGCGCGGTCCGCCCGGGCCCCAGGCCCCGCCCCGCCCGACGCCCCGCCCACTCCCCTCTGCGGGGCCCGGAGCCCGGGGGGCGCCTCCGCCGCCCGAGCGCCCGCCATGCGCGCTGCCCCCGCCGCTCCGGTGCTCCAGCTGCTGCTCCTGCTGGGGCCGCGGCTCCAGGCTGCGGGCGTCGCGGAGCCGCTGCCCGCGGTGGTCCTTGCCATCCTGGCCCGCAATGCCGAGCACTCACTGCCCCACTACCTGGGCGCGCTGGAGCGGCTGGACTACCCCCGGGCCAGGCTGGCCCTCTGGTGAGAGACACCCGGCCATCGGCACCCACTGGCATCTACTCCCCAGCCTGGCAGATGGCCCCCGCCCTAGGCGGCCCCATCTGCACCCTGCCCAGACACCACCCAGACAGGCCCCGACCCTCACAGGCAGCCCCGAGCCCAGACAGGAGCCCATGCCCCTGGCGGGCAAGGTCAGACCTCTGAGGCCATAGGTCGACCCGGGGACACTCACCTCTCCTTTGGCCCCCTATTTCTCTTGGGGCCTGCCCTGGGTGTAAGTTGGGCCCACCCTGTCTTGCTCAGCCCTCAGAGCCCAAACGCACCCCCCCTCATGGGACCTGTGGTTGGCTTGACTTGGAGAGGAGCAGACAGGAACCTCTGGAGTCCTCCGGGCCCAACGTGGCAGGGATGGGCGGGACAGGAGGGTCCTGAGGAGCTGGCGGGAGGGGTGTCAGACTGGCTCCCCTGCAGCTTGGCTGGTGCCAGCTCCTGTTAGCAGAGGGGCTGGGTCTTGTCAGCCGAGGGAAGCCCCCCTCCCTGGAGTGCCCCCTCTGGCGTCCCATAGGGCAGTGGGATCAGAGGCCACAATCTCCAGCCTATAGCAGGAACAGGGCGGTGTCCCAGGCTGAGGCGGGGGATAAACTGAGAGAAATGACAAACCACCCCTCACAAGACACCAAAAGTGGAGCTGGGGGTGGGGCTGTGGCCTGGGGAGGCCGCCCACAATTACCACAGTTTGAAAGTTAGTTAGCTCCCAGCCCAATAGTTGACACGTAGTTAGTCTTCACTTCTGGGGAGTTGGCTTAAAGGCACAGCATCTCCTAAACCCTGGGTTCCTGGCCAAGCCCCCACCTCCTTATGTGAGCTGCTCCCCGGGAGAGGGAAGGCTTTGCTCCAGGGCAGCAGAGCCCAGGCCCATCAGCCTTCTCAGGGATGCTCAGAGCATGGTTTAGTTCTTATTAAAACTTGTGGGTGCAGGAAAACAGCAGCTCTTCTGCCTAGCCCTCTTTCAGAGAGGGAAAGGGGCTCACCTATGGTCACACAGCAAGGAAGGAAGGTAACCAGGGAGTATGGCAAGTGCGATCCTTAAAGCTGATGAAAGTACCTTTCATCTTTCAGAGTGCATTCATCTTTTCTTTTGTTGGCCTATGACATAGGCAGGACAGCTTAAAGTTGAGGAAGGAAATGAAGCCAGGAATGACAGGACTTGCCTGAGGTCACACAGAGGGTTACAGAACTGTGATTAGGACCTGGCTGTCCTGCCTCCATGCCTACCCTCCACTGCTCCCAAGAGAGGCCAGCCTCAAAGGTGTTGGTGCTTTGGCATCAAGGCGCCTTGGGGTTCAGTCCTGTGGTGGCTGAACCCCTCACCCTTTTCCCTCTGTTCCCCAGGTGTGCCACAGACCACAACGTGGACAACACCACGGAGATGCTACAGGAGTGGCTGGCAGCTGTTGGGGAGGACTATGCAGCTGTGGTCTGGAGGCCCGAGGGGGAGCCCAGGTGGTGATGTGAGGGGAGGTGTGCAGGGGAAGGTAGAGAACAGCTGTGACCCGAGAGGAAGGGGCAGCCCAGAGCCACAGCCTCCAGGCCAGGGCTCTGCCCGCTGTTCTGCAGAGAGAGAGAAGCATTTACCCCATGAGAACAGCTCCTCTCTTTCTTCCCTCAGGTCCTACCCAGATGAAGAGGGTCCCAAGCATTGGACCAAAGAGAGGCACCAGTTTCTGATGGAGTTGAAGCAGGAAGCCCTCACCTTTGCCAGGGGCTGGGGGGCTGACTATATTTTGGTAAGAAGCCTGGCCTAAGATTGGGCTTCTGAAAGGTGGCAGTATCTGTCCCTAACAGAAATTTTGCTATGACTGAACAACCTGAAGGCTGGATCCTTTAGCAGGCTACCTGGGATAGAACCCAGACCAGAAGTTGAGCCTGGATCCCTATGTTTGAGCTCAGACTAAGTACTAAGCCTGAATTCCTGAGATAGATCCCAACATATATACTGAGCCTAGATTCCTGGATTAGAGCCCAGAGTATAAACTAAGCCTAGATCCCCAGACTAGAGTTCAGAATAGGTGTTTGGATCCATTCCCTAAGCTAGATCTCAGATAAGGTTCTTAGATCAGCAACTCGGGTGTAATCTTTGAACCCAATCCCTGATCTGAGCCAGTGCCCCAGACTAGATCCTTGGTCCAGAATCAGATCTACTGGGTTTGTTGGTTAGATGTCTCTAAAGGAACTCCCATGGGATCCTGGGATCCACTCTAGGTCTCTGGCAATCTGGAGGGATCAGTGAACTCTGCAGCCCAGACAGGGCTGGCGCCTATGACATCCTCTTCCCCAAAGTTTGCAGACACAGACAACATTCTGACCAACAACCAGACACTGCGACTTCTGGTGGAGCAGGGACTTCCGGTGGTGGCCCCAATGCTGGACTCCCAGACCTACTACTCCAACTTCTGGTGTGGGATCACTCCCCAGGTGAGGCCAGGGATGGTGCCTCAGGAAGCTTGAGGTCCTGGGAGGAGGGATTTGGAGAGCAGAGAGTCTGAAGGCTGTGACGTCTGTGGGCAGTGGCAAGGGGAGCCCCCCAGAGCCCAGAGCATGCCCCTTCCCCAGGGCTACTACCGCCGCACCGCCGAGTACTTCCCCACCAAGAATCGCCAGCGCCGGGGCTGCTTCCGTGTCCCCATGGTCCACTCCACCTTCCTGGTATCTCTGCGGGCTGAAGGGGCAGCCCAGCTCGCCTTCTACCCGCCTCATCCCAACTACACTTGGCCCTTCGACGACATCATCGTCTTCGCCTATGCCTGCCAGGCTGCTGGTGAGGACCAGTCCTACTTGAGCATTTCTTGGAGGTCTCTGCACATGCTGTTTCCTCTGCTCAGCATGCCCTTGCCCACTCTGCATTTCATCTTGTTAACGCTCACAGCCTTTCTTTCTTTCTTTTTTTTTTTTTTGAGACAGAGTCTCACTTTGTTGCCCGGCCTAGAGTGCTGTGGCATCAGCCTAGCTCACAGCAACCTCAAACACCTGGGCTCAAGCAATCCTGCTGCCTCAGCCTCCCAAGTAGCTGGGACTACAGGCATATGCCACCATGCCCGGCTCATTTTTTCTATATATTTTTAGTTGGTCAATTAATTTATTTCTATTTTTAGTAGAGACAGGGTCTCGCTCTTGCTCAGGCTGGTTTCGAACTCCTGACCTTCAGTGATCGGCCTCCCAGAGTGCTAGGATTACAGGCGTGAGCCACCCCGCCCGGCTCACAGCCTTTCTTGAAGCCACCACCCCAGTGGGTTAGATGCCTTTCTGGCTGTCCCCATCTTGGCACTTCTATGTATTCCTTCGCTAGTCAAATATTTATGGAGCACCTGCCATGTGCCAGGCACTAGGAAGACAGCGGTGAGTAAAATCAGGTAGTCCCTGCCTTCCTGGAGCCTCCAGTCCAGTCAATCAAAGGACCATAAAAATCAATGTCCAATCACAATGGCGACAGAAGGAGAACTTCTTGACTGTACATGCTCTAGGAGCTTAGACTAGAGTTGACCTGGTCAGGGAAGGCTTCCTGAAAGAAATGAACTTTTGAGCTGAGATTTAAAGTATGGGCTAGCATTGACAAAGCAAACAGAACAGGAAAGAGCATTACAGGCAGAGGGACCAGCAGATGCAAAGGCCCTGTGGTAGCAGGGAACATAAGAAGGCACGTGGCTGGAGCGCAGTGAGCACAGGGACACAGTGCAGGCTGAGGCAGGAGAGGGAGACAGTGGCCAGCCTCTGAGGACGGACAGGCAAGCACCTGGTCTTCAGTCTGAGCGTGTCAGCAGCCATCAGAGGTGTTGTGTGTGATCAGATTTGCACACTGCAAAGAGCACTCTGGTGTTGGTACTTATTTTTAAGATGAAAGTTCCTAGAAAGTGTCTGGGTGTGGATGGAATAAATCCAGTCCTGAGAAAGAGTCAGAAGATGAGAGAGACAGGGACACCGACGCTGGGGTAAAGTTCGTGAGAAGGCAGCAGAGAGCGCGATATTCAGGGTGTAGACTGGTGGGTGGAGAAGAACTTCGCTGTGGTCAGTGAACTGGAGGTGACAGCTTACACCTGAGCAAGCAGTGTGTCAATCGTGGCCAGAGCGGAGCGTGCTGTGGGTCTGTTTTGTGCGCCAAGTGCTGAGGACGTCTGCAGTGTGCAGGTACACAAGAAGCAAAAAATCCTATCAGGTGCAAAAAGCTAGTGAAGGCAAAACAAATAAATGGAGGGGGAAAAAAGAGAGGAAACAAAAGCCTTCCCTTGTTTTCTCATAACTACCGCTACTACAAGGGACAGCCGTTGTTAATTGGCCAGTGCTGTGAAGGCCATCCAGCCATGCTCTATTGGTTTTTTTTTTTTTTTCTGAGACAGAGTCTCACTCTGTTGCCCGGGCTAGAGTGCGGTGACGTCAGCCTAGCTCACAGCAACCTCAAACTCCTGGGCTCAAGCGATCCTTTTGCCTCAGCCTCCTGAGTAAGTGGGATTACAGGCATGCGCCACCATGCTCGGCTAATTTTTCTTATATATTTTTATTTATTTATTTATTTATTTTGAGACAGAGTCTTACTGTTGCCCAGGCTAGAGTGCCATGGCATCAGCCTAGCTCACAGCAACCTCAAACTCCTGGGCTCAAGTGATCCTTCTGCCTTAGCCTTCCAAGTAGCTGGGACTACAGGCATGTGCCACCATGCCTGTCTAATTTTTTCTATATATTTTTAGTTGGCCAATTAATTTCTTTCTGTTTTAAGTAGAGACGGGGGGGGGGTCTCGCTCTTGTTCAGGCTGGTTTCGAACTCCTGACCTTGCGCGATCCTCCCGCCTCGGCCTCCCAGAGTGCTAGGATTACAGGCGTGAGCCACCACGCCCTGCCTAGACCTCTTAGATACTGTGAACCAAGCCCTTTCTCACTCTGGTCCCATAGGTAGGGAAACTGAGTCCCAAAGAAGACTCACACTTGGGTCACTGGCAGTGCTGGGCCTAGAACCTCTGAGTGAGTGCTCCCCTCCCCCGTCAGCACTCACTCAGCCTGTCCCTGCAGGGCTCTCAGTGCACGTGTGCAATGAGCACCGTTACGGGTACACAAACGTGCCGGTGAAATCCCACCAGGGGCTGGAGGACGAGAGGGTCAACTTCATCCACCTGATCTTGGAGGCTCTAGGTGAGGGCTGGGGCCTCTTCCACCCACTGCTGCTGGGGCTCCCTGCCTCCCTGTGGTACCCCTTTTCATGGCCCCTGACCTGGGTGGGCACTGGGCTTGGGGTTCTGGCCTTGCCCCCAACTCGTTCCATGACTCTGAGCAAGTCCCTTTCCTTATTGGCCCTCAGTCTCCCCAGCTCTAACGGGGCCAGGTAGGTCCTGTGATCTCAGGGGCCCTCCCGCTGGGCATTCTGCTGAAGAGGGCAGGAGTGAGGCCAGGGGTTAGAACTTCAGGTGGCTGCTCATAGGAGCCAGCAGGGACTCATGGTTGGGGCATGCTTCCCTTTGCAGTGGATGGGCCCCCCATGCAGGCCTCAGCTCATGTGTCTCGGCCCCCAAAGAGGCCCAGCAAGATGGGGTTTGATGAGGTAAGTCCCCCAGCCTTCAGGATAGGGGGCAGGAGGTGGATGGGCTCTCCTCTCCCCTCCCCTGCGCTCACGCCCCCCACCCCTCAGGTCTTTGTCATTAGCCTGGCCCGCAGGCCCAACCGCCGTGAGCGCATGCTGAGCTCACTCTGGGAGATGGAGATCTCTGGGCGGGTGATGGACGCTGTGGACGGCCGGTGAGACTTCCTGGGATGGGGCACTGGGCACTTGTGGGTGGGCAGTGTGGTCCGTCACTGAGCTCCCTGGGAGTGAGAAAAACAGCCAAGTTGAATGAGGTTCCTGTTCCAGGAGGTATTCAAATAGGGCCTGAGGAATACTGTCTCAGGGAGTTCCAGGCACACACAGCAAGATGCCCTCCCTCGGCCCACCATGGGAGCAGAGCACACTGGTTAGGGCTGCAGGGCTGGGTTCCAGCTCTGCCACTTACCAGCTGTGTGCCCTCTGGCAAGTTATCCCCAGCTCCCAACTCTATCATGTAAATAGCAAATGACTGTGCCTTGCTCTCAGGGTTTGGTAAGGGTTCAGGAGGAGTTAGCCAGGGCCCGACACATGGTAAGTATTCGAAAGGGTTAGGTGTCTTTGGAATTATTACTCTCCATCCTGGAGTTGGGTCCCTGAGGGCTGGGGGTCAGGGCAGGCCACCTGTGATCCCAGGGGCATCCAGAGGTCAGGCTCCCATGGACACCAGGGGTCACCTGGCCTCATATGCCCGCTGCTGTTTGCTTCAAGCCCTCAGCTCTTTTGACCATGGGTTGTCCATCCTTTGCTTGGGCCTCTGCCCAGGAAGTATCTCTCATGTTCCCACATTCATCCCCTTCAGGCAGCTTCCTGCCCCCCTCCTCCAAGGGTTACCCTGTCCTATCAGATGGGGACGTGTCCTAACAGTCATGTCCTATCATAACTCCCAGGGTGGCCATGGTTCCCCAGGTCCAGTCACTGACAGCTTCAGGCCACACAAAGGAGTTACATGGCTGAAACCTCCTTCAAACCAGACCACAGTGTGACTGTCCCCAGCATGCGCAGGCCAGGCCCCTCTGGAGGGGGTCTCACCCCGATACACCTGTGTCCCTCAGGATGCTCAACAGCAGTGTCATCAGGAGCCTCGGTGTGGACCTGCTCCCCGGCTACCAGGACCCCTACTCGGGCCGCACGCTGACCAAGGGCGAGGTGGGCTGCTTCCTCAGCCACTACTCCATCTGGGAGGAGGTGAGGACGCCGCCGCCTCGGCCCGCACCCCTCACTGCTCTGTCCGTTCGGTGGACGCGCCAGTGAGTGAACACAGAGACCCGGCCAGCCGCTGTGAACCTCCTCTGTGCTCAGCCCCACTGAGGGTGCCCTATTCATTCTGCAGTCTCTCTTGAGCACCTACTGTGTGCTAGGAGATATTCTGCTCTGGGAACACAGAGGGGATGAGGAATATGTATGTCCCCTCCTTCCTGCAATAGAGGGATCCCCCTGGGGCTCAGGGACCAGAGGAGGGGACAGAAATCTGAGAGCCAGCCTTGCAGTGGAGGGGAGAGGTCTGGGCTGTTCTGAGAGTGTGGTCTGGCCCCAACTTCTGGTGTGGGGGGTCAGGGTGGGCCTCACCATTGGGGGGAGGGAGAAGAGGAAAGCCACAGGGCAAAGGCCCTGAGGCAGGAAGGTGTTTAGGGTCAGAGGGAAGGAGGCCAGAGCCTGGCACATGCCCAGCGCTTGGCCAGGCCTCAGCCCAGGCTGGAGCATGAGTGCCGGGAGAGGTCGCCAGTCACTGAACTGGGCCTGGAGGGCATCACCTCCAGGACATGGGCACAGATTCCTTCTTATTTTCTACTGTAGCCAAAATACACACATGTATGTGTATGGGAGCTTATATTGATACTCATGTTGGTTTTTTATCCTCTCTGAACAAATTGAAGGACGATATAGTTCATTGTTTACTAAGCTGATTTCTTGTTCTTTCCACATTTCCAAAAGTTACAAGAAGTATATTTTCTTTGAGATGTTGGGGGCTAGAGTCTACCCCCCCTCCGGCCCATCCCCGCCGCTCACCCCAGCTTCCCTTAGGAAAGCTGAGGCCAAAGTGACAGGCTGGGCCCTGGAGTCCAGCAGAAACAGGTTCAGATCCCGGTTCTGCCACTTCCTGCCTATGTGTCCTTGGACAAGCAATTTCCCCCTCCTGTGTGTCTGTCTCCCTCCTGCAACAGGGGGATGTTTCCTGCCCCCAAGAGCCCCTGGGATGTCATAGAGCTCAATGAATGTGCCAACAGTCATGTCTACCCTCATGATTCTATTTAGACAGCTTGATTGGGAGCTTGGAGGGCCCTGAGTGCCAGAGCAAGGTTAGAATGTCAGTCCCCAGGCAGTGGGAGCCCCAGCAGGCTTTGGAGCAACTGTGCAACGTGGTGTGGCCAGGGCTGAGCATTTGGAATGTACCACGCCAGGCCGAGTCTGTGGGCCGTAGCCAGGAGAGAAGGGAGTAGGGACTCTGAAGAGCCATCTCCCACCCCATTGTGTACCACAGGTGGCTGCCAGGGGCCTGGCCCGGGTCCTGGTGTTTGAGGATGACGTGCGCTTTGAGAGCAACTTCAAGGGGCGGCTGGAGCGGCTGATGGAGGAGGTGGAGGCAGAGAAACTGCCATGGGACCTAATGTAGGTGGTCTGCGCCCGGGGCCAGGGAGCAGGCGGGCCTGGGGTCTGCCCCTTCCTGCATGGAATCCTGGCTGGCCCCGTGGGAGGGGGTGAGGAAGGGCCCATGACACCCCAAGATTAAGTGACTCCTAGGACTCCTCATGTCACTTGCAGCTACCTTTTTTTTTTTTTTTTAACACATACCAGTCATCTTCTATTTGGAGGTTAATTCCCACTAGGATATGAAAGGATTCAGCAATGATGGAGTTCCTTACAGAGGGTGCCGGGCCAAGAAGGTCAAGGTCACAAGTACAGAGTACCCCCCCCATGGTCCCCTCTTCAGTGGTACTTGCGTCGCCGCTCATGTTTGAGCTCCTTGTAAGAAAGGCAGTAGTTGAAAAGCACATAAGCTCCCAGTATCATAGAAATCCCAGCAAAGCTCCCCTTCTTCACATCGATGTACTTGTTGTGATACCGGTAGCAACCTCTTTGAAAGGCTCCAACAATGCCTTTAGGGGTGAAATCCTGCATCAAAATCCAGCTTGGCAGCTCCCCTAGTTTGACATCCATGAGTTTCTTCTCCTTCACTGGTACGACTGATGCCATCTTGAAGCCCTGATGTCCGCTGTGCCCACTTGCAGCTACCTTGGCCGGAAGCAGGTGAACCCTGAGGAGGAGGCCGCCGTGGAGGGGCTACCAGGCCTGGTGGTGGCCGGGTACTCCTACTGGACACTGGCGTATGCCCTGAGCCTGGCGGGCGCCCGCAAGCTGGTGGCCTCCCAGCCTCTGCGTCGCATGCTGCCCGTGGATGAGTTCCTGCCCATCATGTTTGACCGGCACCCCAAGTGAGGCTTGGATGGGGGCGGGGCAGGGCAGGGGCGTCCCATCCAGGAGCCCTGGGCAGCTGGCAAGACTGAGACTGGAAAGCCAAGGCCAAGTCACTTGCTCTAGGTCACCAAGGAGTAGCCCAGCCTAGCCATGGAGTCTAGGCCAACCTGGGTGTGAATTCTGGCAGACTGTGTGGCTTTTAATCAAATGACTTCCCTGTTCTCAGCCTCAGTTTCCCCATCTGGAAAATGAGGATCATAGAAATCCCACTTCTCAGGGCTGTTGCGAGGACTAGATGGGAGGGCAGTGAGGTGCTTCGGGCAGGTGAGGTGCTGGTTCTGGGCTGGCATGTGGTCTGGGCGCAGGGACCTGTCTCGGTCCCCCTGAGCTGTCCTCCTGCCTAACAGCGAGCAGTACAAGGCGCACTTCTGGCCGAGGGACCTACGTGCCTTCTCTGCCCGGCCCCTGCTTGCTGCCCCCACCCACTACGCAGGGGACGCTGAGTGGCTCAGTGATACGGAGACATCCTCCCGCTGGGATGACGACAGCGGCCGCCTCTTCAGCTGGAGCGGCTCTCAAAAGACCCTGCGTGGGCCCCGCCTGGACCTGGCTGGCAGCAGCGGGCACAGCCTCCACCCCCGGGATGAGCTGTAGGTGAGGCTGGCAGAGGCCCCCAGCCCCCGGGCCTTGGCTTCCTCTCTCCTTCTGTGGCATGACTGTCTAGGTCTCTGTTGTCCCCTTCTCAGCTTCCTTCTCTCTCCCCTCTCTGTCTCTGGCTTTGTCTCTGTCTCTAGCTGTGCCTTTGGCTATCTCTGCATCTCTCTCTAGCTCCTTCTCTCTGTCCCTGGCTGTTTCTCTGTATCTGTCGGTGTCTGGTTTCTCTGATTCTGTGTGAGTAACTCTAGTTCTATTTCTCTCTTCCTGCCCCTCCTGTCCCACCAGGTCCACATGGTGACTCCAAAGAAGCTCCCAGGAGCAGGCCACAGCTCGCAGGGAGCAGAGGAAGAGGTTGCTGGCAGGAGCCACAGACCCAGAGAGACCTGGCTGCCACCTTAGGCACGGCCCCTCTGCCCTCTCAACCCATCTGGCATCAGGATAAACCACTCAGAGATGATCCCCTTCCCCGAAGGCCACTCAGCAAAGGGGCAGGACCTGCAGGCCCCTGGCCCTGCCCGGGCTGACTCAGGGCCTGGGGTGGAGGGAAGGAGGCTCCCAGCCTTCCATGTCAAGCTGGGCAGCCCTCAGGAGCTCGTCCCTCCCTAGGACTCAGCCACTGCGGCCCCTCTGCCCCCTTCTACCTCCACCTCAGCCCAATCCCCAGCTCCACCTTCGGGTCTCACCAGCACCCCACCCCAGCCAGTGGGAGGTGGGAGGTGGACCCTACAGACCTGGTGCCCAGCACGACAATAAAAGCCAGCTGATACTTGCACTTTATACTTTTTAACTCTGCACCTCAGCCAGCTGGGAGGAGGCTTCCCTGTCTGTGGGTGAGCAGTTGGAGGGACAGAGAGGGGAGGGCAGCAGGTCACTGGCATCACCTCCTTGCTGGGTGATCTTGGGTGGCTGCTACCCCCTCCCTGTGCCTCAGTCTGCTCGTGGTAATTGGGGCTGGGTGTGTATAAAGTGGCCTGGCCGCAGCCTGGTCCACAGAGTGCTCACCTGCTGGGGCTGATGTGGTCATCCCTGGCGGCTCACCTTGCTGGTCAGGTGGGCCCAGGCCACCCAGCCTGCTGGTGCCCTCCCTGGCATCTTCACTTGTGCGTCTGGAGCCCTGGCTTCGGGAAGGGGCCAGCACGGCCCCTCCCTTGACTGGGGCTGGGGAGATCCAGGGTTCCCCTCCGACCCTAACCAGTGTGGCCGCCGGAGGGCGCGGTGGCAGAGCCTGGACCTGGGACAGGGCGCCCTCTGCTGGTTCGGGGCCAACAACGGAAGGGAAGCACGAGGATGTCGCCGGGCTGCGGCTGGGCGACCCGCAGCAACACCGCGCTCTGCCGCTCTGCCGCTCCCCGGAGGGTCGGGCTGCTCGGCCCTGCAACCCAGGCAGCCGGAGGGCGGGGGTGGGGTGGGGGTGTGGAGATGTCCTTGGCCGTGGCTGCCGCCGGTGCAGGACTGTGGTATCTCCAGGCTGCCTTCTCGGAGGAGCCCCTTTCCCATCCCTCTTCCAGATCAGCCCCTGAGGCTGGGCTGTCCCTGGGCTCTGTCCTGGGGAGAGGTCTAGGACCTGGCATGACTTTGAGAAGGACTTTGGGCTTGAGCTGTGGACGGTGCTTTGTTCTTTCCAAGATGAAAACCACTGATTCCAGATGGCTGTGACCTCCAGCAAATCACTTCTCCAGCCTTCAGGTGTCCCCTTCTTTCATTCAGTTACTCTTTATTGAACACCTCCTATAGGCCAGTGAAGAAAACTGACAAAAACATCGCTGACCTCATTAAGCTGACATTCTAGTGAGGGAGACAGACAGAAACAAGTAAGGAAATATTAGAGGGTGTTAATTGCTATAGAGAAAAATGAGGAAGGGGGACAACAAGGAAGATTTCAGAAGTTAACATCTGAACAAAGACTTGAAGGAGGTAAAGGGGGCAAGCGTTGGGGAGATCTGAAGGAAGAGCATTCCAGACCAAGGGGGCGGCATATGCAAAGGTCCTGAGGCAGGAGCAGGACTGGCAGTTTGGAAAAACAGGAAGAGTCAGTGTGGCTGGAACAGAGTGAGCCAGGAGGAGCTCACTCCTGGAGATGATATAGCCAAGGTCAGGGCCAGAGCAGGAAGGGCCTTGAAGGCCGTTTTGGCTTTTACTCTGAGATGGAGCCACTAGAAAGTTGGGGACAGAGAAGTAACATGATCTAACTTATAATTTTCATGATCACCCTGGCTACTGTGCTGAAATGAACTATAAGTGGGTCCAAAGAAGAAACAGGGAGATGAGTTAGGAACCCATTGTGGTAACTCAACCGAGACTGGGTGCCTCAGGGCAGGGTAGCAGAGGGTTGGTGAGAAGGTCCAGCCAACAGAACTTCTAGAGGAGGCAAGGAATTGAGGATGATGTTAGGATGTCTGGCTGAAATTACTAAACCGTCATTAACTGAAATGGGAAGAGTATGGGTGGGGCTGATTTGAAACAGGTCAAAAAAGTTCAGGTGCTTAAATTTGAGATCCAGGGAGCATGTCAGGTAGCAGTTGGATGCACAAGTCTGGGGTTCACAGCACTAGTCTAGGTCAACATAATGCTTTTGAGGTTCTTTTTGCATGTTTCACTATTACAGTCCTTTTTACTGCTGAGTAGTCTGTTGTATGGCTCTTCCACAATTTATTTATCCATTGATAAATGATAGACATTTGGGTTTTTTCCAGTTTGGGGCTAGCATGAATAAAGCTCCAAATAAATATTTGGACACAGGTCTTTGTGTGAACGTAAGTTTTCATTTCTTCAACCTAGGAGAAGAATGGTTGGGTCAAGAGTTAAGTATAAGTTATAAGACTTTGCCAAGCCACTTGGAAATGTTTTAAACCCCGTTTAGCTGATTTAGATTTTCTAAAAATCTGCTCCCTGTTTTTTTTTTCAAATAACAAGTAGTACCTTCTCTTGTAAACTTGAATTGTAATTGCTTCTGGGCTCCCTAGCTGCTGCAGGGACTAGGCTATAGTCTGCCCCTTTGCTAAGTGACGCCAAGCTGCTGAGTTTCCTGAGCTCCTTGGTCTCTTTTATTTATTTATTTATTTTTTGAGACAGAGCCTGACTTTGTTGCCCACTGGGCGGTGGCATGCATCTATAGTCCCAGCTACTCAGGAGGCTTAGGTAAGAGGACCACTTGAGCCCAGGAGTTTGAGGTTGCTGTGAGCTATGATGACGCCACTGCAGTCTAGCCAGAGTGACAGAGTGAGACTCTGTCTCAAAAAAACCCTCTTTTGAAGATATATAATTCACAAATTTAAACATTTTCTCAAAAGTACCAAAAAGAATATATAAGAGTAATAAAAGAAACACCCATGTATCCTCCACACAAAATTTAGCCCTTTCTCTATACACTTATACCTTCATTTCTCCCCTACCCCACCCCCATAAATAGGATTACACTGAATTTGCTGTTCCTAACCTGTTTTTCAGCCAATATATCATGAATTATCTTTTCCAACAGGTCTTTTTTTTTTTTTTTGAGACACAGTCTCTCTTTGTTGCCCAGGCTAGAGTGAGTGCCGTGGCGTCAGCCTAGCTCACAGCAACCTCAAACTCCTGGGCTCAAGCGATCCTCCTGCCTCAGCCTCCCGAGTAGCTGGGACTACGGCATGCGCCACCATGCCCGGCTAATTTTTTCTATATATATTAGGTTGGCCAATTAATTTCTTTCTATTTATAGTAGAGACGGGGTCTCGCTCTTGCTCAGGCTGGTTTCGAACTCCTGACCTCGAGCAATCCGCCTGCCTCAGCCTCCCAGAGTGCTAGGATTATAGGCGTGAGCCACTGCGCCCAGCCTAGTATGTTTTATTTTTACAATTTAATATTTAATCAACATGAAGTTCATTTTGCTTTTTTATTTCTAAGTAATTGGTCAATTATTCCCAAGCCACATTTTTGACCAATATTTTCTTTTCCCATCCTTCCATTTCTGTTTTTTCTTTTTTCTTTCTTTTTTTGTTTTTGAGACAGGGTCTCACCCTGTTACCTGGACTTACTACAACCTCCAACTTCTGGGCTCAAGTGATTCTCCTGCCTCAGCCTCCCCAGTAACTAGGACTACAGGCAGGTACCACCACGCTTGGCTAATTTTTCTATTTTTTTGTAGCACTGGGGGTGGGGTGGAAAGTTGCCATGTTGCTCAGGCTGGTCTCAAACTCCTAGGCTCAAGTGATCCTCCCACTTCAGCCTCCTAAAGTGCTAGGATTATAGGTGTGAGCCACCGCACCTGACCCCATTTCTCTAATTGACCAATTTCCTTTTATATCAGGACATTCACACTTGCCTTATCAGTTATAATTTCTGTTGGAGTAATTTACAATTTGCAGTTTGCATTTTTTTTTTTTT